CCTATTCAGTGCACCAAAACATTTCACAAATGTTTGAACTAGCGCATCTCATGTATTATTGATAGCAACTGTGGTTTACTATGGCGATCTCAAACACCACGATTTCAAATAGTAGAAATTATAGAGCACAGAAGAAAAGAGAAGTGACACTGCAAAGGTTTTATTTTCAACGTTAGGACAGGTCGCTTCTCACATGCACATAAACAAAACAGACTGTTGCTGGTTATGTAAAACTCCCATTTCCCTTCCGAGCTAGTTTAAGTATCATTTGGTACGTAGTTTAACATACTACATATATCTTGGAACATATATTTCCATTTCAGTTAATCATTCCAACCTCTGTTAGGTACATACTACCATAAATAAGTTCACTCTAAAGAGTTGTCAAATTTTGTGACCTAGCCAATTTGCCTTTAATTAGACACGTGATACCACACAGACGTTCAAGATTAAATAATACATACACGGTAGCTGTCTGAAAAAGCTAATCGCGAGATCGCTATATATACTCTCTGGCTACAACAATGGTAATAAAGAAGTAACTAGTGGTGCTACTACAACAGTTATTACTTCCTCGTGCTACCTACATCTTTTGCAATATTGGAAAATTCAGAGATGCCAACTCGGACCTGCCCCATTTTTACACGTGTACTACACACTATCCGAGAAAAGATTAAAGAAAAAATTTAGAGCCGTTTTTGAGAAAATGTTTTTAAATTTGCTTACATTTCTCGCAAAATTACGCGAAAAATACTTGTTTATTCTTGCTCTCATTTAAAGATCTAATTTTACAGAACAGAATTCATTAAGAAAAATATCTATGTTCAATACGTAGTTGAAGGAAAACGATTTTTTTTAACTTCTGCAATCTTAGAGAATTCCTAGAGTATAACGAAAATCAAACCAGCACCAATTTTATAAGCGTACTTTGCTCTAAGAAAAAAATAAAGAAAAGCATCGGATTCATTTGTGAGAACATTTTGAAAATGTTGTTAAAGCTTGATGTAAAGTACTCCCAAAAATCAAAACATTAAATTCAAATTCAACGACGGATGGGCCGATTTTTTGCAGCAAACTATTTTTTCGGTATCAACGTCACAAAAAACGAGGATTTTGACTACGCAATTTGTTAAAGAAAGAAATTTACTACCTAAAGAAACAAGAATTATTCATTTTTTTGTGTAAGAAGGGACCCATAAAACAAGTTTTTCTGGCGGAAAATCGCAGCTTTTTGCTTCAGCATTACAATACTGTCTCCAAAGTACGTAAAAGATGTGCGAAAAAGTAACTAGTGGTCGACAACAGCAGAGCTGGCATATGTCTAACTTTTACAATTTTCGAAAATTCAGAGCGGGCAGTGCAAACAGTGGTCGGCTTTAAAAAATCTCAATTGGTCTACTTGTGCAAAATACACAGTGGGTCTACTAAAAATACTGGAATTCTTTAATACTAAAATATAAAAAGCGCCTATCGCCATTTCTCCAAAGAAAAGATACCTGTCTAAAAGTTACTCAAAATTTACTACTCACAATTTTACTCTCTAATGCATAATACGCTGGGTGCACTTTTTAGTAGACACAAAACCTCTTGAGTACTTTTGTAATAGGAATTAATCCAAGTGGAGCATTGAAATACCATTTTCTGGCTTGTTTTAGAGTATCACAAGTTTCTGATCAAAAACTTAGCTCCAGTTCCACATTTTCTTTCCAAAAATAATTTCCATATTTCAGCCGACACATCACGGCCTTCTCATTTGGACGCGCAACAGTAAAATCTAGCATTCCTTTTGGGGTAATCGTACATTCGTAATTTTTTAAATAATACCCGACGCATAGGATTCAATGCAAGAAAAATATAATTTCCGCTACTAATACACAATAAATGTCTATTCCACTAAACGTATTTCATGAGTTCATATACATTTTATTGATAATTACAAATTAGTGAACGCCTTTTAAGAATTACAAACAACAAATTTAAGACGTATTTTTAAAAAGTCCAAAATGATTCTATTGATTTAACAAATTACTTATTATTTAATCACCCCAACTAAAATCAGAATATTGTGTGAAAAGGCATTTCCAACAATTTTATTGAAATTTATACCTTTTCGAGTAGAAAATTGACGTCAAAAAATTGAGATATATTGTGATAAGTTTACATTGATAATATTTTGTATCTAATGCAGTATTCATTATATTGAATTTCAAAATTTTCTGCATTCAACCAGCATACTTCCAATTTTCTGTCATTGTTATTTTAGTTTTATGTAGAGCATTGCACAGAAAAATTGGTAACAATGTCGTTCACCACGTAATGCACAGGTTCATTACCGCAAATCTATAACAGAAACCTAGTTTAACCTGGACGATGAGCTCAATCATATTTTATATGTAGCCTTACTTCCTCTTTTTACTTATTCTTCTATATCTGTTCTATATCTGAGAAGAGAGACTCGCGAAACTACTTGTCGCATGTTTGCACATGCACACAGCGGGGACGAGTCAGGACATGTTTGGCCTTATCTTACAGCAAGCAAGCGCGATCGTACTGGAGGTACTCGTATCGTGTGCGCTCCCAAAGGAGGCAATTCTTATTAATTCAGTCACCAAGCACTGATATCGTCAAAAGGTGAGCGTTCTGTTTTTTCCGATGTTATAAGACAACGGGAAATTAGTTTATTACTAATGTGAATCATCTAAACCGGCTAGCGTTCTTAATCCGGATCAGGTTTACACCTTTTGTCTAATACAGAACAGCTTAATATTTGTAAAGGAGACGGAACCTAGTATATCATTTACGTACAAATACCTTTTCAAACTATTCTGAAATGGAATGACGTCAGATTAAAGTGAAAACACCATAACGTCGGTCGCTCTAAAAAAAGTGAGCACAACGACAAACAATGTTGCTGGAACTATTTGAAATGGAAATACTATACCGCTAAAAACATATATCTTATTTATTTCTTGCCTGCCTTAAAGAGTAAAGATGTTTCAGTGTAACTTTTAAATTGGGTGAAGTAAATAAGTTGCAAAACATTGTGGCATTTGTTTCCATTTATTTATTGTAGGTCTTTCAACAAGGTCATCATATTTGTTCCGGGATATCTAATGTATTCTTAGCACATGAGTAAATACATCATCACAACTGTATGGTACTTTGCCGAGATTGAAAGTAGCCTATTCTGTCATGTTACCTTACAAAAAATTATATTCAAATTTTATTATCTCCATTCACAAAGAAATCTGTCGACTGACTCTTGTGCGTCACCATAAGAAATTGTATGAATATTGTGGCAATAAATTCAAAGTGAAAATAGCATACGACTTTTTCATTACGGTAGGAGAAAGTTATTTATCATATGAGTGGTAAAAGTGGCATTTTGTTTTGTAAGTAGGGAAGTTTGCGACATGAGCCTGTTCGTTCAAGTGGCGCAATTCTACGAGCGAAATAAAATCACTTTTACCATGAGTGCCATACAATACTTTTTTATCTCGTCTCAGGAATACGAGTCAATTTTGAACTATATTACGATAAGGTCAGGAGTAGCTGATGCAGTCAGACGAAAGTATTTGGTTTTCTTTGTTGCAGTCACTCTGTTTTGTCTGAACATTTGAGCATTATCTCACTTTTAGTGCTTGTACTAAAATTGAACTTTCGCACGTTCTGTATCCCCAAAAGGTAGCAGCTTTTAGAATAGTATTATATTTGCAAATGCGTGAGTGACATTGAAGGAAAGGGTATCTTTGAATATTGACAAAAAATAATTTCAAGAGAATGTTGCGGGGCAAAGCGTCTTTGTCAAAAAATCACAAATTATAGAAATAGCGCATACCGCGGTCAGCACCATCTGTAGGCGTAAAAAAATGTCTAGCTGGAAGTAACTTCCGTTCTGCTGACCATTGACTCAGTTTTGTAAATAAAAATAATAAATTAATATTTCACAATTAAGAGTTTAAAATTGTATTTAAATTCGACTGCAGATAGATTACTTCATTTGCTAGCGCTGCATTAATTGAAAACTTTACCCGCTTAACCAACGTGAGGTAATATTCAGACAAATTTAAGTATATGAAAGATATTCTTAGTTGTTAATTGTTAGAAAATGTATCAGCGGTATATATATATTTCAAATAAATAGATTTAATTGTGCAAACACTCCACAAAAGAGCAATATGAATAGAGCGTTAGGAATAGCGCGATAAGTAGCAAAGACTCCTTATCGAGTTAATTTGTCTCATGTGTGTGTGCATGCCGTCATTTTATGTGCGACATCATTTCTATCATATTATACGTCCCTATGTCATTGCGTTATTCGTAATGTCACTTACATATGTTTTATATCTACTTTAATTTAAAAATAATCTAAACAGTGAATTAAAAATTTAAATGTAATAAACCAATAACATCAGTTATAAATCATGTATAAACACAATTTTAAATGTAACTTACGCCCCTATAATTCCACATTTAAAAGAAATATTGTACTGTGCATTGACGGCAATTACATGCAATGAAAATTCAATAATAATTTATAATACACCAGATTGGAGGCATTTAATGTGTTTCACAACAATGTGGGTGGCAAAGTGTGCACTCGAGACCTTCCGCGAGAGAAACCCACATATATCGTGATTTCTCACCCAAGCATTGCGACCTGAAGAAGGCTCCGCGTGCAAGGCCCGAAATGTTGGCTGAAACTGTTCCGACAAAGACTTGGACTTACACCACGATGCCACGCAGAGGCGGATCCAGAAAACATAATTAATTGAAAAAATTAAAAACTGTTAGTTTGAAATTTTTAAAAAATGTATTCATAGTGCGATTTTTTAAAACAGTGATGTGATGAAAACGTATGAATTGTAATTAAATGAGTAAAATGTTGCATTTGAAAGGAGGCTTGCTCTTCGTCTGACTGAGTGTGTGTG